CAGCCAATGAGATCCATGTATACAGACACATCATAGTTATTGCTGCAGCTAGCTGACACCACATCACTCTGCAGTTCATAACATTCAGATATTTTATTTTTTCTAGCTGTGTTTTATCATCAAATTAGTACACCGGATTATGCAATTGAACAACGTATATACGCACATCAGTTGTATCCTCAGTTATTGGTATGTGACATCATAATTCAGAAAAATCACAAATATGCTAATGAGATAATTGTCAGTGTTCAAGACAATTTTACCCCTGAGTCATCTGATCTTGAAGTGAATTTTTCCTCTGATAGCAGTGTAAGGTATGCAGATTTTCTTTTGTCTTGAAGAGATTTTTTAATTATACTGTAAAACATGTCTATAAGCTAACATTACCTAATTTAGCTAGAAATAGGCTAATTTAGTTAATCTGTCATTTTTTTAATTCATGTTGTCGCTAATTAAACCGTATTCTCACCATGATTTTGTTAAGATTCTGTTGATTCATGAAATACATCCAAATTAATTCATTAAACAGCAAGTACCGGTAGTTATTTCATTATGTTTACAGTAGTTGTCACCTTCCTATTTCTACTCAAAATAAACAGGCTTTCTGAAATGAGACCACTTCCACTGCTTTAACTTCAAAAGCAGTAAATTCAATAGCTTAAAAACACTGTAACATAAATACATTCTGACAATGCAACTAATTTGTTTTGGGTTTATATACATTCATAATAATTACCTAATTTGTATAATAATTTACTTTTCGGCTTTCCATCAATTTTTTTTAAGAATTAATCATCACATTATCATAAAACTTGGTACATATAAGTGCCGTGAAACAATACACAAAACCTAAATAGTTTGGGGTTGGAGTCTATCTTATATTTGCTTAATTTGTGTAATAATTATTTTCAAAAAACAATTATTGCCATTCAATAAGACTTGATATATAAGTGCCTGGACACAATGCACTAGTTTTGAATTGAAATTCAAGCATACTAATTGCTGAATTTGCACAATTTGCATAATTATTACATTTAATTGAAATTTGGTTCATATATGCTCTGGCATAATCCACAGATAAGATTAGTTTTATGTTGAAAACCATACATATTGATTATCTAATTATTATTAGCCAATTTCTGGTATCTCAAAAAATAAGAATTTAAATTGTACTTGTGGGAAAGGTGCTCTGGAATAAATTAGACTGAAAACTACAGATGTAAAATCAAATGTATTTTGTATGTACCAAGTAAACAACTGGGCGGACCATCCAAATTACATTTCCCATGATGCACTGGTACAATCTCTGGGATTGCGGAGCCGCGCTTTTAGTATTATAAACTTCAATAATGTGAATCACATTGTTTTCACGTTGTACATCTCAAATAGCAGACAAATATTAGTTGCCAAGTTTCTTATTTGAAAGGCTAATTAATTTTTAATGTGCCTCCAATACTCTCAGCACATGGGAGTTCTTTCTAAGCTTTCTTTGATTTTAGATTATACTGATAATCATCCAAACATCATGATTGTTGCCTACAGACAAAACAAATAGCATTTTTTGTAAGCTTTTCTGGACCCTGACAATTTGTGGGATATATGTACGAAAAACTGAGATGTATTTCAAAACAATTTTTTTCTTCTATCATTATTTACAACTCAAATCTTATATATATATACTCAAATATTATTTCTTTACAGCTCAATGTATGGCAAAATCTTGGCACCGGAATCTGACACAAGTGGTTATTTAGATGTTTTCATATTCTGGAACCAGTTTCCAAAATTGCTAATTTTACAACCGAACGAGGAGCGGAAGTCTTGGTTTTCCATCATCTCAGTGTCACAAATTAAATCTAAAGCATTGGAATCTTACAAATTGGGCACGGAGATGACCAAAGCAGATGAACTTTTCAATAGCCACATTGCATCATGGGAAACTAAGTGGAAGAGTGGAAATATAGACTTAGATGGCGATGTTTATCTTTCAAAGGCAATTCATGCTTCCATGTACTATATCCTGAGCTCGTTGCCACCTATAATGAGTGAAGAATTTCCATTTTATGGCCTAAGTCCTGGTAGCCTAGCAACAGGAGGCAGAAGTCATGACGATGACTACCATGGTCATGTTTTCTGGGACATGGAGATATGGATGTATCCTCCAATTCTAGCTTTTCATCCATCACTTGCTAGGAAGATGCTTCTCTATCGGGTACAGTGTCTAGATGAAGCAAAGAATAAGGCTCGTCGGCATGGTTACAGAGGAGCAATGTTTCCCTGGGAAAGTGCTTACTCAGGTTTGCATTTAAATTAGCTAGGCTTGGGTAGACTTCCATCTGAAACATGAAATTGGATAGCTTTTTTGGAACATTCCAACACAAAACAAAAAAGTTTTAGGCTTGGTTTAGCCTTGATCTATGGTGGATGGGGTGTACACCTGACAGAAATGTACACAATGTATATGTACATAACAGTGATTACATATGTGCCTAAAATTCATTCCATGAACACAAGAATTTAACTAACTTGCACCAAATTAAAAATTTAATTGAATTTTTATGTGTTATGTTTTTATGTGATGATTATTAATATTTTGCATTTGGTCTATATGTTTATTTGCAAACTGGAGTGAGGGCGGACTAATGACCAAAAAATGTAATTTGCTTTTCATTCAGAGTTAGGGTTTGGTGTTTTGTCTGATTAACCTCCTAAGACCATTCATACTTGTGTCTCTCTGTCAACGTCTTTTGAAAATAATTTCATATAAAGCTAAATCTGTTAAATTTCAGAAAGCTTTATGACTGGTATACTTTTCCTGGTAACAGCGCCATCTAGTGATGCTTTAGGCTTCTCATTTCTTGGCTGCTAGCTTTTTTAAATATTTCTTTTTAATCAATCGGGCAAATATCGTTAGCCTGCTTCTGAGTGCATATGCATGGTTGAACGATTACTGACTATAATCATTATTAAATACTGATGTAGGTATAGAGGTGTGTCCAGGCGCTGTCTATGCCAATAATGAACAGCATATAACTGGAGATATAGCGTGGGCAGTTCAACAATATCTGTATGTAACAAGAGATGTGTCATTTTTAACCAATGATGGTGGTTGGGAGTTGATTTACAATATTGCAGTGTTCTGGGAAAGCAGAGTTGATTATGATGACAGTATTGATAAATATGTTATAAACAGTAAGTTTTTTGTTTCATCAGCTGTTTCAATTTTGTATTCTTCCACAACATACTGTAAACGTAGCTACATGTAAATATCTACATGTCATTTTAGAGAATTGGATTCAATTCATGAAATGACAGAATCTTACTTTAGTTAAAGTATTCATGTACACCTGGACACTAGTTGCCAAGCAACCACAAGGCACCATTAAGTACTGTAGAATACTTCATTTTAGCTGGAATTTTTGAAAAGACTTTTTGGGTATTTGGTTTTGTCACAGTTATCGCTCTCATTGTGAGAATTACATTCTTTTCTATTGACTTGCTAAAAAGACATGTTTCACAGTGGTCCTTTATGTTTATTTTGTTCAAAAATGTTCACAAAAACTTCAAGAAATGTTTGATTATGAGGCCAGGAAAAAAAATTCTGTTTTTCGTTTCAGGAAAATTTTAAAATCAGACGGCAAGGTGATTTTTTTTTGAATACTGAGCTAAAATTGGGGAAATTTGAGACAAGTGCAAGTACATTTTTTTTGTACAAGCACATTTTGGAATGTTTTAGAAGGAAAACAAAACGTCCGAGGCGCATAGATCAAAATGATGCATGCGGAAACGAGAAACATAGATAATTTTTTTCTCAGCCTAAGCAATTGATTGTTTTAATTTCTAGGTGTAATGCCACCAGATGAGTACCATCATTGTATTGACAACTCTGTATACACCAATGTTATCGCCACAATCAGTCTAATGCTACCATACTTTGCTGCTAAGTTAATGAAGAATAAAGTGACAGTGCCAGAGCAGTGGAGACACATTGCGGATAATATCTATATACCATTTGATGAGAAAAATAAATATCATCCAGAGTTTGATGGATACACTAAAGGTAAAAAAACAGTTAATTTACAAAAAATCGTAATTCAGTGTTTACAGTGAAAGGCGGGAATATGTACATTTATAAACATATTTACAAAAATTTGTAAATACTGATCATCATTCAAATTATATAAAAAAATAAATATAATAGTGATTGGCTCAAGAGCTAAACATTGTCTATACCCATAATGCACATGCAACCCGTCATGTGACATAGCAACTGTAAATGCCCACTTAGTCAAAATAAAGCAATTGGGATTCAATGATGTTGAACTAACTCATTAATATTATTAGATGATGTTAAACTTCAATTTTAAACTGGATTGGTCATTTTTTACAGGCATTTGATTTACAAACAAATAATTTAGAGTTTATTTATTCACAAACATTCTTTTCATTTATTTGATAATTTCAAGTTCCTACATTCTTGTTTTTTTTTAAGTATTGTCTTGTTAATGATAACATTTTTCACCATTGCAAAGATCATATGCAAACTATTATTTTTACAAGTGAACCATAAAGTTCATTATCATTACTATTATTATATTATAATATTTATAATGTCCCCAGGTTTCTGTCATTCACTGTTTCACTAAATAAGTCATATAAGATTCTGTTTGAAAGGTTGATTTCATGTTATTTTTGTGTGGATCCACACGAGTATAGGAATTAGAGATAATGTAATATTTAAAAAAAATACGCATATGTAAATCTTTTCTTTAATTAGGTAGTGAGGTTAAGCAGGCTGATGTCATTCTTCTTGGCTATCCATTAATGTACGACATGCCAAAAGATGTTCGTAAGAATGACCTCATCAACTATGCCAAAGTAACTGATTCATTCGGCCCGGCGATGACTTGGAGTATGTTTGCCATTGGGTGGCTTGAGTTGAAAGATTTTGAAAAAGCTGATAAAATCTTTAAGAGAAGTTATGCACACATACAGGAACCATTTAAGGTAATGTAATGCAGTTTGATAATCTGGGGTCATGACATTTAAATCTATTATAGTATTCCATATCATAATAGAAGGGATATATTTCAGATTTTAATATATATACTCTATTCGCTCTATCTGCATATAAACCAAAAATCACATTGGCTGTTTACCATATCGTTACAATTTTACTTATTTTTACCATAGAAAAATCTCTGTAATTTACATACAAGTAAGACATGTGATACTGGTACTGATACAAAAAATATTGTAGAGAAATAAAACAAGTAATCCAGTTGAAAAATTAAAACAATATTTTAGCTTCTTATTTTAAGAGAACCTGATTAGCTTAATTAAAATTCCTCAGTTATATAACCGAATGATTTATAACAAATTCTAACCAGGTTATATACTATTTTATGGTGGCCATTTTAAAGATATGCAATAAAATATGCATATAATTGTACTTTTCTTACTCTACTTTAAACCATGTTTATCACTTTATCTTTCCCTCAATAGACTTGGTCAGAAGTACCAGACGGAGGAGGGGCATATAATTTTATAACTGGTATGGGTGGATTTCTGCAGACAATCATTTTTGGATATGCTGGAATCCGAATCTACTCTGACCATCTGGAAATGAACCCTGTTCTTCCATATGAAACTAATAACTTTGTACTACATGGAGTACATTATTTGGGGAGTGCCTTTATGTTGGAGATCAGTGATACCATGGTAACTGTCACAAGAACGACAAAGAATGAGAACTCTCCTGAACTACATCTAGTTCAAAATGATAAAAGTATTCCGTTATCTTTTGGTAAGTATGTTACATGCTTTCCTTCATGAATAATATGAGGTTATTACAAGCATACCTCAAAGTATGCACAAAGATAGTACAGCGGGAGTATTGACTTGCGAGTGCATATTTTGAGGTATTCTCGTAATAACCTTATTATTATACATCTTCTCTTTCCAATGGTACATACTGGGATGCCAAAATCCCAAAAGTTTAGAACAGAATAAGTGAACTTGTTTGTGTGAAGTTTAGTCAAACCCTGTTGGCAGCCATGTTTGTTTTTATTATTAGAGGAAGATGATTGTAACAACATTTTCAGTTCATGATACCCCGTATTTCAATAACTATCAATATACAGTATTAAATATTACATTTACATGTTATCATCCATATTGCACAATTAAAATGGATAATGTACATTATTATACATCTGTCACCGTAATGCCATAAGTTACAGCGTGCCGTAATTTTGCAGTATTTTACTGGGTATTTTCATCCTACCATATTAGGAAATATGAATTCCAAATATGGAACGACTAAGCACATAAGCGTTCTCTAATAAAAAAAAACCAAAAACATGACTGCCACCAGAGTTTGACCGAATCCCACACAAAGAATTTCGTTAAATTTGTTCTAAATGTTTTGGATTTCGGCATTCCCATGATGTATTCCTGAGAGGAAAAGATTATTATGAGGATACTGCAAAGTATGCACTCATACAGTTCACTGTCACATAGACTTCCGCTTCGCATTGGTCAATACTCTTGCTGTACTGTCTTCATGCATACTTTGCAGTATTCTCGTAATAACTTTATATGATGACATGTTCTATGAATGTCTTATACATGATACAATATTGACGTATTTTATGACTGTTTTGTTTGTTTTTTACTTTTCAGAGAAATCTGTTTCCGTGCCAAGAGAAAAACTTATCATCCAGCCATAAATATTCTTATCTTCAATTATATTCAATCTTGGGTTTGTATGAATCTTCTAAAATATGTGGTTTTAAATATTTAAGGTCCCTAGCCTGAAGCGCTAGGCCCCTATTATTATCGTCTTTTCCTCTTTCTTTCTTTCTTCTTTCTTCCCTAAAATCCTCATGTCGTTTGAGATAACCACTGAATGGAATGGTCTGAAATTATCCATACTGATAGTCCTTGATGTGAACTAGAACACCTGACTTTCAGAATTTTGATTGGTTGATTGATTGGTTTGGCAGCCATATTGGATTGAAATTATACCGGAAGTGGCTATTTGACCATTTTCTGAGGATCTAGGCAATCAGACTTTTTATGGCATATGGTAAAACTCGTGTGTAATAGATATCAGTGGTCCCATGACTTTTTCCGCTGCTTTTTCTCCAAAAAATGGCAAAAAACGCTAGAAAATCTTTAGAAACCACCATCTTGATTTTTTGACAAAGATAACTAAAAGTTTGAGCATTTGTTTCTCTTGAATGCTCCAACCAATCAACTAGATTTTTTGCATATAACATGTACTACCTTAGCTTCTTACACGAAAAGATAAAAAAAATCGATGAATCACATGGTTTGGCTGCCATTTTGGATTATTGACAAGAATGACCAAAGGTTTGAGCATTTGTTTCTTATTGGTGCTTCAGCCGATCAACTGAATATTTTGTAAATAACATATGGCCATAGATTGTTAAAAGATAAGAGACGATGTATACGATCATGTAACCTCATTAATATGCATAAGTACATATATATTCTGAAAACCATATCTTGATAATCAAACTAGGTAAATACATGGAACCACTTACACTGTTCATTCAAACTACCCTAATAGAAACCAGGTGACTTAATTAAGTATGGAATAGATTTCTGATAGATTGGGCGTGCTGATGCTGATTGTAGCTTTAATTTTTCTTTTCACATAGAGGCAAACCAGAAAAATAACATTCTTGAACCACAATCTGATTAAAATAAGATCCTAGTTTTTGTTTTGTTTTTTAATTTTTTTTTTTAATTTTATTTTTATTTATTTTAATTTTATTTTATCTGGATCTATTATTTATTTGTTGATAGGTTTTTAAAGTTTTGGTAACTGCGAATGTGGCGATAGTTAAAAATATACCGAATCACAAGTAAAATAAATATATAAGATAAAATACACACCATGATACAATACATCAGATTTTAATCAGATTGTAGTAAACTGCACCATGGGTTTGTGCTGACCAATTACTTTTAGATGTGTTTTAAAAAAAGGATATATTTTTATATAAACTGTATTTAACAAGGATGCTCCAATTAGCAAAATGATAAACTTCTTTGGGGCATCTCTGCTTTAACTGTAATATGTATTCAATATATTGGTAGCCATATTGATGCAAGATAGTGGAAGAATCTTTGAATGCTATCCACCTTCAAACAATGTGTAGTACTAGTATACAATTTTTATTTACTAAATAGATTTAACACATACCTTAATATGGACTACTGGGATATTATTCTTTATTCTTATAATTTTTATTTTAAAATATATAGCAAAAATCTACATATTGCTAACTAACAGTCCAATATTTCAGTATCTGTCTAGACACAAATATTGGCAATTAACATGCACTCATACTTAAACTAATGTCAAATTGATTGAACCATGGAACTCTTCAGCTTATTAGTGCAAGACATGAAAGCATATCAAAATATTCGTAAAAGAAAATTTTTAATCATGTACTAAAAATCTAAGAAATTTTTATGAAGACATTATGTGGGTTTTACAATAAACTAGTCTAGATTTACCACTTGGAAATTGATCATTTGTATAAAAACACGAATAATAATGAGTTGTAGCATCCGTAGAAATACAATGTCTCTTAGTTGACAGCAATACACATTCAAATAACAATTGTTTTGTTATCAAATATTACTGTAAAATGACTAATTTTCACTGGGTTTAAATTTGACAGATTTAGCATTTCAGGCATACTCGGTGGGTTCTAAATTCAGTTTTATCATTTAGATAATGTGTTCTATGCTCAATTTTACATATTCACTGGGTTTTAATTTAGCACATTTTCCAGTCAGCGAAATAAGCAAAATTAAAATCTAGTGAATAATTAACACTTTTACAGTATGCAATTTTATTTTTGTACAGGACTACTCTTAAAGTAGAATATGACCATGCATATACAAATCTCAAATACTTATATATCACAGTTGTGCACTGTAATAAATAATGCCTTCAAATAGTTACACTTGTTCTTTCTTTTCTACCTTTCCTCCTCACAAGAAAAACTATGAGAAATGATATGATAATTATTGCAATGATTAAAAATACCAAAACTATCCAGAATCCAACGTTCCAACTATCCCCATTTGATGCATCTATAAATGAAAGTAATAAAAGATTGATTAGTTGAGGCATAATAAGTATTAAAAAAATATATAATTGCAGTAAGAAATTCAACGATATATCAGGTGGAGATTGTAGGATCAAATGAGTAGGTTGGTCCTTCTCTTTTCAAAAGACCTGACTTCGCTTCCTGTCCTTTCACTGATTTAGTCATGTGTTGGAACACAATGTTTGTCCTCTTTGTCATCTGTTCCTTTCCTGTTAATACATTATATTCAATTGAGCATGAGTTTATTTCAAATTTACTCACCTGCAACTTGTATTGGACCAATCACACACGTCTGTGATTGGTTAAATGTTGAATGTTTGGACGTACAAGTGAATGTTGCACCGTTGATTTCGTTGCTTATGTTGACCTGCAGTGATAGTGCTGATTCATCTATATGAATGCCTTCTTGGTTGTTTCCATCTTGGTCCCATTGTAATATTGCTGGAGGATCACCGCCTTTAGATATACATGTCAATAACACAGTATCTCCATCAATGAGGTCTTTACTGGATTTTGCACATTGTGGATAATTATCTTTTGGTGGAATGGCATCTATCAGGAAATAGTAAACCGGGGAATATAAATTTGCCAAGTTTTGTCACTAAAAGTAAATGTTTTTTTTTCAACATTTTGTGCTAAATTAATATTCTGCACTAAACTACTCTACTTACACATAAATAGAACTTAGACTCAAATGGCCGTCGAGATCTCGTTGATAGCGAGACAACCACAAAGACTTGTTCATTGCCCTTCAAATAGTGTTACATTCATCCCCCATTATCAACTCTATCGTTGATGCGATAATGGTAGAGTACGAAACACTTTGAGAGGCAAAAGTAAGCCTTGTGGATCTCGCGCTCTCAACGAGATCTCGGCAATCAGTTCCGTCCAAGCTCGATCAGCATAATCACATGCAAAGCAACTGTAGATGCAAAAAATATATACCATCTTCTGTAAATGCTATAAAATCCTGAAGTAATTTGAGTTATCCAGGATTAAAAACCAACATCTATCTTTCACGGAACACTGATACGAGCATCCAAATACAGAAATACAGCAGTAACCATCTTATGAATAACATGAAATTAGTGTCTACACATCAATCAGAACTTAAAATATTGCTATTTTCCATGGCACTCACTGGGAATGATACTATGACACAGCGTTTTGCCCAATGCACATCCTGCAATCTGCTCCAGGGGTGTCATAACTTGTATATGGTTTTGAGTAAACTTTATACTGTATTTATATAAACATACGAAATTGGAGAATTCATCTTTGTCAATATTCATCACTTTGTTTACCATCACCAAATGAATAACTATAAGCATATTTACCCCCAATGTTCAGTTGCATGACGTTTGATGAGACCACTGGCAGTTCCTCTACACTTGATGTTAGTAAGCAATAATATGAGCCAGCATCAGGTTTACTGACTGAGTTGATATTCAAGTTGAATTCACCAATGGATTGGTCACCTCCAATGAAGTACCTACAATATGCTCGATGTAATCATAATGGAGAAAATGTGTCTGGCATTATTATACAATATAGGTGAATACCCAATATTCAACTTCACAAATTGGACACTATTGATAGGCCAACTTATTTCCTTAAAGTGACATCCAAAAAAGTGAGTTGTGTTACTGTAGGAGGTGATCATACCCATTACTGAAAATTCCATTAAATGAGATGTTTATCTGCATAGGTAGTCATTTAATTTATATTCACTACATGCATCCTTTATATATTTTTTCAGTATGAAGTCATCATAAATTCTGTGATACATTATGTTTTTTTCTGAAACAATCTCGCTTTAACAGAATATGTTGGTGTTACCTAAATTTTATTGAGACGTATATTATAAGTTATATATACTATATATATGTTGAGTAATTATAAAAACATTCCCATATTGTCATTATTCAAGGCTGTATTGTTTATTGGCAATTTCTCGAGGTATTTTGAATATACAATCGGGAAGGAATATACAATATGCTGTAAACACTTTAGCGTGAAGTACTGCCGATTAAATAAATATATCAAATTGATTTACTGAAACGTACCTTGTGTCGTCATTGTTCATGGTGGTGTCACTACTGATCACCTGACCATCTCTAATCCAATGAATGGTGCCTAATTTATTTTGAACGGTACAGTCCATGGTGATATCCTCTCCTACCTTAGCATTTCTGTTGGCTTCTTTTGAGAACAGTTTTATTTCTGTCTGCAAGACTAATGACAAATGAATCTATTTAACACATATGCAAACAATTTGGAAAGTGGTTTTGGTAGCCCATATATGTTATAATTAATTGTTTGTAGTTTTTTAAGAACACAGCAAATTGTAACAAATACAATGAAAAAACAGTGGTACGATGTGTGAACAGTCATTGCTTCTTGGCTGTATGTCGACTTGTCCCACTTGTTTGATCATGTATTGAAATATGTTTGTGAGGCATTGTTTGTTGGTAATCATTGAGACAGACAGAATTTGTTTGCTTACTGATATATTTATTGTTTTGGGTGTTTGACTAGTAATTCTGTTTTACTGATAATGCATTTAGTAAGTATTGATTATGTATACGGTTATTTACCTCATTTGTAATATTACTTTTAATTAGTATTGACGATTAGATACAACTATTACTTACTGTCTACTGCAAGTGGTCCAACCTGGCACGTTTCCTGGTTTTGATGTGTTGGATGGGTTGATACACAGGTGAATACGGACCCCTGTAATTCTTCTGTTATAGTCAGCACTAATCCAACTCGAATTTCTGTGTCGGTATCCAAGGTGATACCATCTTGCTCTTCACCGCCATCTTGGATCCAACGTAATATTGCTGCCGGTTCGTCTCGTTCAGTTTCACATACTAAGATTAGATTTTCTCCAAGTATAAGTGTATTTACTGTACTTGGTGCACATGTTGGAACCCTAACAGGAACTAGAATATAAAAGCTGGTGTTATAATAACTGTATAAAAACAACAGATATTGGATATTGTGTTTGGGTTTCCATGTTGATATTGTAAATGAAATTATGTTTATTCGACGGTACAGTAAATTGCGCTGAATGTACTAAAAATCGAAAAAGCATGTGAAGGAAAGACAACGCCCTTATGCCTTATTAACCTGATGCGTTTGTTTTGTACTATTCGCTTGATAAATAGGGTCAAATGTTCAGGCAAATATGTCTGTCATTGCCTCGTAATCTTTTATTGTAATATTTTAATCTAACAACACAAGAAGCAAGACAAATGCTATCAGTGTGCAATATTGAACAATGAAACATTTGTTCAGATAGCCACTAATTCCTATTTTGCTGTCGTAATGATATAGCTAAATCAGATAGTACACATTATATTAAAACATGGTCATACATTCAAATGATTGTTTCGATACATATTTCTATACACCATGCATATTAAGCAATCCATATTACAGTGCATTCCACAATTAAAAACTATTAATGAACATGACAAACTTTATATATCACTGGTTGCATTGGTATTTGTAGATGAATAGGCTAACATAGTTAGTTAGGGTGATCAATTCAAGTATATTTCTGAACAATCTAGAGGAAAGCAAACAAAAGAAAACCTGGTGATTTAGTTTGATTCAACCATTTAACGTCATTCTTGCCCAGCACAAAGACGGTTGATTGATGTTGTCGTCTCCATTGTTCAAAAAACAAGTGCCTCTCATCTGGAATGTTACAAATTGTTTTATTTCAATACTAAATTATCATAAAACAGATGCGGATTTTGTAATGTAATTTATGACAAAACGTGTATTCATGTGTAAAATACTCTCATGAACATTTTGTTAACACAGTGTGTTAGTACATGCTTTGAATGAGGGTTAGTGATGAATTGTAAATAGTGCAACCATGTCAATTGTTATCTCATTTGTTGTAAATGCAGCATTACGTTCTGTGTTCACTTATCGTTTCTATACATTCCATATGATGGACGGGGTCGATTCGTGCTTACGTTCGATGGGAGGTTCAGTTTGCTCTTCAGTTGGTTGCTCGGTTGAAAGTGCAGTTGGAGTTTCGGTTGGACCTACGGAAGCATGTCCAGTTAGACGTTCGGTTGGAACGTCAGTTGGTCGTGAGGTTGGGCGTTCCAAAACTGTCAGAACAGCTGTACTGCTGGTTATTTCTGGATGACCATTGGCGGATGTCACTGAACACACGTAATTACCAGCATGCTCTGGTCTCACTGACTCAATCTTCAAATTGTAATCAACTGATGGAATTGGACTATTTATGGTGTACCCGGATGTAGATGTTGCAATTGTAGAATCAGAACTTATGTCTTCACCGTTCAATGACCATACTAACTGCCCTGCTTTGTTACTGACAGAACAGAATAGCGTGACGTCACTGCCTTCGTGTTCCTCAATACTTGAAGGCTCAGTAAGAAAATCTTGTAGCTCTATCAGAAATTTCAATATACATTATTTTAAAAACTGTCACACGTAATAACAAGTAGTAGTATCAATTAAACAAATTACAAAGTGATGTCGTCATAACAAATGCAAACCATCCAGCATGGTACTGTCATCTGCTATTAGTGAAAGATAAATTGAAAGTACCTGGCAATTATAAATCGACATATGCGATGTTCTTCGCATACTGTTTTCACACATGAGAGAAGAATCCTAGAAAGTTAACCTTTTAATAGCATTTTCTCAATGTCATTTCCTGTTGGTGCAAAGTCTTACCAAGATATATATGACTGATGAAAACAGCCTTTATTATATTTACTTACTTTCAACTGTTAGAAGAGCGGTATCACTGGTTATTTCTGGATGCCCATTGGCTGACGTCACTGAACACACGTAATTACCAGCATGCTCTGGTCTCACTGACTCAATCTTCAAATTGTAATCAACAGAAGGAGTCGGACTGTTTATGGTGTACCCGGATGTAGATGTTGTAATTGTAGAATCAGAACTTATGTCTTCTCCATTTAATGACCATACTAACTGTCCTGCTTTGTCACTGACAGAGCAAAATAGTGTGACGTCACTGTCTTCCAAGATACCTTTGCTAACAGGTTCAACACCGAATGACTGTAGTTCTGTCGGAAAATCATACATTATATCATACAACTATATTTTTTACTAAAAGTCTGTTTTCTCATTTTCCGAACTTGTCTTTAAAAAAATGTGATGCTTCACAGTCAATCGCATGTGGCATGTTGTGTTATACGCACCCACAGTGTAATGACTACCAGCAACTCTATAAGATATATTATTAATTTAACTACCCTTTAATTAATCTCTTATTATGCCAATTTAAATGAAGAGCAAAGTTGAGTATTTTTTTTAATATTCAAATAAATAGCTACGTAAATGAACTTTGGATTATTAGTACATACCAGTAAATCATATAAATCTGAGTGGCATTCATCTGTTGCTGACCAAAGCGCCATTAAGAATCTAGTTGTTTCATAGATGTTAATGAAAATTAACATTTTATAGATTATAGAATCCGCAGAAAAATATCAAATTCCTAGAAAATTTTAAGGGCTCTATCAATAAAACATGTTTAGAAACTGATCAAAACTGACAGCTGGTATTGTTATAAATACCTTAATGTCATGTATTTAATAATTCACGTAGTCAAGTATTACAATTAGAATTAGTTTAGAACATTTTTAGATTGTTGCAAGCCATCTACATTTCACTGGACTTCATAACGTTGATGACAGAAAATGTTATGACCGTTTAAATAATTAATTCATCAAGCCACTATTCATCCATCGATATGCAAAATATTCTTGTTCTAAGTTCTACATGAAAATTATGAATCAAATGAGATCTGCTCAGCAAGCACTCATCAAATTCTTTCACTTTTTCAGATATTGTAGATGTTAAATTTGTTAAACAAACAACATATTCCAATAAAAACATTTAATAACAAGTTATTGCTTGGTTGTGGTATAACTTTTAATTTTCTCATAGTACATGTACTCATTCGAATCTTCAACATATGAAAGTTTTTGACGTAACATCGATTTTAATGTGAATTAGGAGTTTTCATAAAATATATAGTTTGATAAGTTTTAAAACAATTCTTCTATGAAAACAATGTGTTTTAATTTACTTTCTGAAAACCTCTATTACAACAATAATCCTTAGAATCATAGATTATGCCTTGGTTCGTGCAAAGTGTGAAAACATGAGAATGATTCTAGTCTACTGCCATCTACTATCACAAAAGTGCAATCTTGAATGCTATTAATTACAATGTATTAACTATTGTATTTGATCGACGACTAATTGATAAATTATTACCTTCAATTTAATTCGGGCATCATATATCTTAGCACCACCTACGAGGAGTTAACTTTCCAATCTGAATACATCCCATTAACTACATTATAACTTCTTACCTTTCACTGTCAATAACGCTTGACTAGGTCCAATTTGAACACTGTTGCCGGAAGCTGTTACACGACAAGCATATGTCCCAGCGTCTTGAGTGTCTGCGTTTACAATTTGTAGATTATATTCTCCATTGTTTTGGTTCCCAGTAATTGAAAACCTGTTATCACCATTGGTGACTGTGGCGTCGCTGGTAATGTCCTCACTGTCCTTTGACCAAATGACAGTGCCTTC